AGGGTGGGGGTCTGGGCTGTATTCTAAGCCCACCGAGAAGCCGTGGGGTCCCTTCGAGTCAGTGCTGGGGTGCTGCATGATCTGACTCTTTTTTAAAAATTAGATTCAGTGAAGCATGATTTATAGACAATACACTTTAGCTTTCCTACGTATGAAGTTTGATGAGCTTCGACAAATATCACAGTTGCCCAGCCACTGCCACAGTGAAAATACATGACGTTTATCTCCCCGGGTTTCTCTCCTGCCTTTTTTCAGCCAACCCTCTGACGACGTCAGGTTCATTCTTTGTGCCTCTTTAGAATGTCATATAAATGTAATCACACACGTGTGTTCCTCAGGATAGCTACCTCTCCACAGACGAGAATCGGACCCCAGGAAGGCTCCCGGCTGTCTGAGCCACAGTCCTCACCCCGGGCCTAGGCCAGCACCCCCACCCCTGGGGCTGACCGCAGCCGGATCCCGGGCAGGGAAGCGGGATGCTGGTATTTTCCAAGCCCTTCCTGGGCGGTCCTAACAGCAGCCACGCCTGGGAGCGGCTGTTCTGGGGCAACTTCTTCATCTTACAGAGGGGAAGCTGAGAAGCAGCGTGGGGCAGAGGCTAGAATCAGGATGAGTGACCGTCCTGGTTTGCCCAGGACCCCGGGAGTTCCCTGGATGTGGGACTTTCAGTCAAAAAATCAGGACAGTCCCAGAACATGGGACTTTCAGGGCCCAAACCAGGAAAGTCCTGGGTAAGCCGGACGCATTGGCCATCCCACTGAAATGCTCATCTCCCTACTTTCAATAGCTCTTTCCACTTGAAGTGGTAGAATAGGTGATGGCCGGGCCTGATAGCTGTGGGCACCTTGTGATTGGACAAAACCCATAATGCAGTTCAGCCTTTGTTCCCGGCTGCCCCTGCGCAGGACATTCCCCCAGATGCCAATACAGAGCAGCCGGTGAACTGGCCTCTGAGGGACAGAAGTCATGGGAAGCAGGTGGTCTCAGTAGAAGCCACATCCAGCTTTGTTCATGTTTCCATGCCTCTGTGGGGTGAACGGGGGGCTTCTTTCCTGCCTAAGTTCCCCTAAGACAAGCTCTCAGGTTACCAGTTGCCCCTCCTGTGTAGCACTTATCACAGTATTAATTTTATATTTGCGTGATAACTTGATTGATGCTTGTCGAGATTTTAAACCCAGTGAGGACAGAGCCCTGCCTGTTTCAGTTTATTATTGCATCTCAGTATCTGGCATATATTTGGCACATAGTAGATGCTCAGCAAACGAATAAGTGCGTGAATGAATGAATGATAAATATCATTACCTATCATGCCCAGGGAATAACAGTGACTTGCATTCTTTTATCTGGGAGATTTCAAGCCAGTGAGTGTTAAGTCCTTGCCTAGGGGGCCCACACTGTTAGGATAAATGTAACCCATATTCATCTGACATATACAGTTGAACCTTGAACAATGTGGGGGTGAGGAGTACCGACCCATTTTGCAGTCAAAAATTGCCGTGTAATTTTTGACTCAACAAAAACCTAGCTGTCCTTCAGTATCTGCAGTGACTGGCTGCAGGACCTCCCGCGGGCACCAAAATCCACAGATGCTCAATCTTCTCCGTAAAATGGCGCAGATCAACGCACACAGTTGGCCTTCTGCGTCCACGGACTCCCAATCAGAAACAAACAGGTATTACTGAAAAAAGTCTGCTGATATGTGGACCTGTGCAGCTGAAGCCCAAGCTGTTCAAAGGGTCATCGACAGAGGCACAGGAAGGGTGATGAGGGCCTGGCTGGGGCGCCTCGCTTTGCTCCCTGCTCCCTGAGACATGGTGCTTCTGAAAGAGCTGCCGACCACCCTCCACGCAGTCCACGCACTGCCCTGGGTCAGTGGCCTTTGGCATTCTGTTAACAGCTGTGACATTCAGGGCTTGCCGGGCAGGGCTGCTCTCACACCCCCAGTGCCTCGCTGCAGGGGCCCGTGGCCTGCCCTCGGCACCAGGTCTCCAGTGTCATCCTAGGTTCCAGCCGCTGTGCTGAGTGCTGGGAGCGCTGGCTGGGTGTAGATCGGATGATAGGAATAAGACGTAATTCCTGACCTCGCCTGTTTTACCATCCAGCTGGTCGGAGAGATAAGATATATGCTTTGAAAAAGCGTATCAGACTATAAGGCAGTTTGTAATAAATGCCAGAGATGTGGTATGATCGATAAATGGTGCCCAGTTTCAGAGGAGGGAGAGTATCAGACAGACCATGGGGCGGGGTGGGGGGGCCTGCTGTTCTCCACTGTGCCACCCACACCCATTTTCCGTGCTCAGATACCAGTCTCTGGCCCTCACTTCCAACCTCTGTCTCACTACGTGAACTCAAAAGGGAACAAGACAGGGCATCTCTGAGAAATGCTCACCACGTCCCTCTGCACCAGGTACAAATGCCCGCGCCTTGTAGGCACTCGTTAGGACGGTGATAAATGTGGGATGGATGGATGGATGGATGGATGGATGGATGGATGGATGGATGGATGGATGAAGACGACCACCCCAGCTGCACCCGTCACTCGGACGTAATGAGGGGATACAGCCCTCCTGGGCCTCACCCACGGAGCTGGGTGGGGAACGCCCCATGATGAAGTCACCCCCTGAGTCATTTCCTGGGTAGTGGCTGGGGAGCAGCGTCCCTTGGCTCAGCCTTGCAGAGCTTGCTTAGGGCACCACCTGGTGGCGTCCCCAGGAAAGGCCCTCCTGCTCGCTCCTCCTGCCCGCTGGCAGGCTTTAGAGCCCCCCAGGCTGGGGACCACCAAAACCCAGGACCCCTGGTCCCGGTTCCCCAAAATAACAGAATCAACCTTCTCCCAAGCCCCCCTCTCCTGTATTCCTCCTGTGTGGCTTAAGGAGAACTGTCATCATTCACTCAGCTTCTTAAATGTCCCTGAAGCACCCAGCTGCCAGGGGTTACCCTGTGCTTCCCGCCCATGTAGGGGAACAGGACCACTCCCCACACCTGCACGGGTCATGGGGGGAACGCATGCTTCCCAGGTACCTCCAGGGCGGCACTCTCTCCTCTGCTGTGTCAGAACTCGCTCAAGCTCTAGGTTCTACATCCTGCTCACGCGCCTTTCCTGCACCAGGGACCCACCGGGTAGCACCGGCCTCTGCTCCCCCAAGCCGCCTACCAAAGGCTCTGCAGGTAGCACGCTCCACAGAAGGTGTGGGGTCGGAGGGAGGAACCAACTGGGGAGCTACTTACACCGGCAAATAACTCAACCCAAGCAGGAGGTTTGGGGGGTCTAAGGTCAGACGGGTGCCTTACAGACCTACCTTATCAAGGAAGACAGGCTCCAAGGCCGCTGAGGTCAGTCCTGCACCAGAGCTCTGTGCGGACAGACAGACCAGGGCCTGTGCCCAGGAAGCTTACACTCAGTGGAGAGAGATGGCAATAAAACCTGGACTAGTGACAGCGGGTGACTTCTGTAGCATCAGGTGCTAGAAAGACAATAGCGTGAAAGGCAGCGATAAGGGTGGCTGGTGGGGAGCGGGGAGGCGCCCGTCTGAAACTGTCAGGGCGACTTCTCCAAGAATGTGCCCTGTGAGGCAAGACCCTGGTGGCGAGAAGGAGACGCAGAGAGGGCGGGGAGGCGTGAACAGTGAGGACGGCGCACTGGAGGACTCCGAGGAATGGCCCTTCACCACTGGGGCGAAGCGTCCGAAAGAGGCCCTGCAGAGCAAGGTGGCCAGCGTGACTTCGCAGGACGGAATCGAGACGTACAAGTTCACCTGCGTGTGCAGGGAGGGGCCGCGTGGCCCCGGGCTTTCCGTACGTCGATCACACTCACAGATGGTTTTTTGAAGGGTTTTGTTTGTTTTTTATTTTTACTTTTGACTTTTGTTTCTGTTTTGGTTTTGGTGGAAATCAGGGGAGAACTGAAATTGCCACCCATGGAGCAGAAACCAAAACACGTGTCTGAGAACAAGCCCAGAGGCAGAGTCGAGAGGGAACTCACAGGGCCCGGGAATTCCTGCAACGGCACCAGGCCTGGGCTCCTCTTAGCTAGACCCCAAGGGGCAGAAGGCCATGCCGATTTTTAGGAGATAATTCCCAGTGTGCGCTGCATACTCACCAGCTCCTTTCCTGCACCATGTGCCCCCAGCACTTACTCCCAGCATCTCGCTTCCTCTCTGCGCCTGAGTACCACTGTCATTCCCAGTACAGATGAGGAAACTGAGGCTGGGAGAGGTTGAATAACTTGCTGAAGCTGACATAACTGATGCGTGGGAGAGGCAGGATTTGGCCCTGAATCTCACTCTATGTACGACACACGGGAAGGACGTTGAAAAGCAATGCTTCTCCTGCCCGCCTGCTCACCATTCAGACCCACGCGGCCACGGGCTACTCCTCCCTCCTTTGAATCCCCCATCGCAGGTGGTCTGTTGAAATCTGAAGGAAACCTCGACTGCTGTGGTGGTTCTCACCCAGGCACACTTGGCCATGTCTAGAGACACTTTCGGTTGTCACACTGGGGGGAGGGGGAGTGCTACTGGCGTCCATCCAATGTGTAGAGGCCAGGATGCTGCTAACATCCCACAGTGCAGACAGGCCCCAAAGCATGGAATTATCCAGACCACAACGTCGCTGGTGCCGAGCTTCAGAAACCCCAATGCAGACGTCATCAAGGAACATGGCAGCTGGCCAGCATTGCGTCATAGTGACAATTCCACCTCCCTCAGCCACCTGTTTCTCAGCCTGTGGAATCCAGAATCTTGATTTTGTGAATTCTCTGAGGTGATAAGGTCCTGAAGAAATGATCTGCCTCAAAGCAAAAAAAGCATAACTAAAGTTTTTAATTTTTTAGGCAGATGGACCCCCAAACCAAAACAAGCAAGAACTTCGCAATCACTCCTAGATGCTCCCACACTATACCTTGGGGAGCAGAGGGAGGAAATGCAGAGACCGCGAATCCACTCAAGGCCTTCGGCGCCTGGCCTCCTTCCCCGCAGGGGGGAGGAGGACCCTGGGCAGTCGCCTAAGCTCAGCACCACTGTCCAGGGCTGCTGCATGGGCACCTGGGAACACATACCAGAAGCAGCCCGTCTAGAAAGATCCAGACCTGGAGCTAGTCCAGGATCCGCAGGACAAAGGCAGAGGGAAGGAGCCCGGCCAAACCCCACCCGGCTGAAACCAGCAAGTTCTCCAAAGCTGCGTCCACTGACTTGCCACAAATAAGCCCAAGGGTCACACAGTCGAGAATTTTTTCATCAGCATGGAAATGAATTCTCTCCCCATAAGCAAACTCTCAGAGAAGTAACTGCTCAGGGAATCTACACAGAAATACACTTACAGGCTCTTCAGCCTTTGAAAGTGCCTCTCACCCAGGACTCACGAAGCCAGACCTTTCCAGAAAGATTCTAGTACCTAATACGAACTTCGAGCTCTGCTCCTCAGTCCCAGAAAGGCCTGGGTCCTCTCTTCACGACACCTCCCTGTTGGCACACTGCCCAGGCCGTGGCTGAGTGTCCCGCAGCCTGAAGCCAGCAGTCTCCTGGTCCCCCTGGGACGCGTGACTGTCCTGTGCAGCTCGGAGAGTCCAGCTTCCCACATAGTAAGTGCCCAGCACATGTCCCGGCTCCGGGAGCCAGTGCAGACCTCCTGTTCCCTACTCGGTCGCGCACACATGCTTGTCAGTGCACAGGCGAGACCCGAGGACACGGGAGAGAGCGGCGTGGCCAGGGGCAACCATCTCCTCCATGTCCTTGCTATGTAGCCCTGACGAGTTGTTAACCCCTTAGTTTATTCACCTGAAAGGGAGACAGTGGCAACACCTACCCTGTAACCAGCACTGTTCAACAGAACACAACGCGAGCCACAAATGCAAGCCGCAGACAGGTGACTTAAAAATTCAGCACCTGCATTATAAAGAGTAAAAGGAAACAGATTAAATTCGTCTTAATAATATATTTTATTTAACCTAAGATAGCCAAAATATTATCATTTCAACATGTAATCAATGAAAAAAAATAAGGGGACCTTTTATATTATTTTTAATGCAAAGTTTTTGAAATCCAGCCTGTATTTTATATGCAGCACATCTCAATTCAGGCTGAGCAGGTTTCAGGCTCGGAGGCTGCACTGGGGAGTGGCTGCCACACAGGACAGTGCAGCTCCAGGGCTGTAAAGTTAAATGAGTGAATGGAGGTAAATTACTTGGTCCCAAGCAAGTGCATGGTACCTGCCGATGCTACTCCACCACCTGAAGGGAGCAGCACAGGGCAGGCCTCCGAGTGGGTGCCCTTCAGGTTCTTTACCATTCCTCTTCTTACCCCCGGAACATACCTGCAGCATCCCACGGGGGCCATGCACACGGCCCCTGAAGTGACGCTGCCTGGTTTGGGTCTGCCCTGCCCCTCACTAGCTACATAGCTTGGGGAAATGGTACCTCCTTATAAGGTGGTTATGAGGATGGAGTGAGTTAGTTCATGTAAATGCTTAGAACAGTGTCTGCCACATGGTAAAATAATAGTAGATGTTATTACTTGCTAAAGAAAATCTGAAAATACAGAAAAGTTGGAGACAAAATTAATCAGTTAACCCCGGAGTCTTTTGACATTTTCTGCAGTGGCTTCTTGATAAAACATGGGCCCCACCTAGTTCCTCTCTTAATATATTTTAAGGTTCCTCTCCCATCCTTGCCTTACTGCCCACTCCACCCCTGTCTCTGCCCTTAAAACCTCTGGCCCAAGAAGCCAAGTGAAGGTCAAAGAACATGCCTATGAACATGGGGGGAAAAAGCAAAGAAACAGGCCTGTGCGTCAGCCGCTTCTCTGACCTGCCGTCTGTGGCGTGCTTCTTGTAACTGGCACAATCTCGTGCTTTCACCAAATGTCAATGGAGATGGGACTGCTGACTTGATCATATCACAGCACAGAGTGGCTCTGTGTGTCAGAGATGTGCCACCGCTACATGCTATAGGCCCAGAGCCCTCTCTGTCTGGCTGGACAGTCCCAGTGCACTTTGGGGACAAATATGAACAGAGAGCACCATATTTGTCCCTGATTTTAGTCATTCCTGCTGGGCCTGCAGCTCTGACTATGGACCCTTCCTTCTAGGTAATGTTTCTCACTCAAGGGCACCCTTCTGAGAATCACCCAGATAAATTGTTCAAATGCAGATTCAACTGTGTTTGACTCTCAGAAAGTCTGATTTAATAGCTCTGGGGGTTCCCAGGAATCTGCACTTTTATACTTGATGCAGAACCTGAAGACAATGAGCTGCAGCCCTAACCCTAACCTTTCTAAGAAAGCTTGTATTGTAAGGGCAATCATCCTTTATGTAGCTCACTGGCATCTATAAGACACAAAGACCGGGCTAGAGATGGTGGCAGAGATAGTGATAGCGAGGGAGGAGAGAGGAGAGAGCCTCGCGCTTCTCCCTGGGTGTGGCCCACTGTCCTCCCCTTTGAAGCTCACTGTCTCCCATCAACCCCAGCACAGACAGCACCATTCACGTTCTTTAAACAGTGTGACCAATATCACATTACTATGATAATGGAAAGAAGTATTTTGCCTGGCATCAAATTTTGACTTTGCAACTTTATTAGCTGTGTGACTTCAGGCAAGTTTCTTCCTTCTTTGAATCTCAATTTACTCATCTGCAAAACAGAGATAATAAAGCCAACCTCTCAGGATTGCTAGGGCTGTTGAATTAGATGATGTATGTGGACACACTCAGAGCAGTACTTCCTGCATAGCAGATGGCCATTTTCTCATTCAATGACTCTTCATTGGGTACAATATGTGCCAGCTCTGTGCCAGCTCTGTGCCAGCTCTGGAGGAACGGCCGTTCTGCAAGGTGTGCCACAAGGTATCCTACAAGCACTGAGGGAGGCAGGCAGTGGCCCCACTATGAAGAGGAGAAACCACAGAGGAGTCCTAGAAACATGAGTATCCTACTTTTCTCCACAACAACTTGCTGCCTATCCAGAATTTGGGGAGTGGCCACTGAGACCCATTGTCTCCTCACTGGGATTGGCCATACAGAGAACATGATTATAACCTGAGCTGGCCGTCCCAAGAAAAGCTAGTCTTCAGCAAAACTCAAGTGAGCTAGGGAGTGAGGGCCTGGTGGGGTGTAAAACCCTAGCCTTTTACACATCAAAGACCTTTAGTATGTTAATGCTCCAATAATCCTAGTTCTTACAATTTCCTCTAAGAAATGATCTTTTAAAAAAGAAAACTTTGATATACACAATGATATCATATAACACACAATGACATATCAAAAGCTGTTTTAAAAAGTTGCATGCCTTTGGTTGAGCATTGTCCTGTACACTGAAAGGTCACAGGTTTGATTCCTTCAGGGCACATATCTAGGTTGCAGGTTGGATCCCCAGTTGGCTGTACAGGAGGCAACCAATCTATGTTTCTCTGTTGCATGTTTCTCTCTCTCTCTCTTTCTTCCTTCCTCTCTTTCTAAAATCAATAAACATATCCTCGGGCGAGGATTTTAAAAAAAGAATTGCATGCCTTTGACAAAATCGAGCACCCATTTATGGTAAAAAACTTGCAGCAAAGTGGGACTAGAGGGAACAAAACTCAACATAATAGAGGCCATATGTACAAACCCACAGCCAACATCATACTCAATGGGGAAAAGTTAAAGCATCTTCCTTAAGATCAGGAACAAGACAGGGATGTCCATTTGCACCACATTTATTCGACATAATATTCGACATCCTGGCCACAGCAATCAGAAAACAAAAAGAAATAAAATCATGCAAATTGGAAACGAAGAACTAAAACTGTCATTATTTGCAGATGACA